AGGGTCTCTCTAATGAGGCGCAATTGTGTGTGTGTGAGAGAGAGAGAGAGAGAGAGAGAGAGAGTGTGTGTGTGTGTGTGTGTAACAGGATCAAGAAGTCAAAAGGTACAAAAAAAAAGTTTCAGACATTCAGCATTCCCGCCCTTTGCATCCTTCACCTGCCAAATGTTGGTCTCAAAAAACTGTATGAATGGGAAAATGTTATCAGGATCTGAACAAGGGTCATCAACAATTTGTGTTATGTAGATAATAAAACCTTACTTGCAGAAAATGAGGGAATGTGAAACACTTTCTGTAAAAGATTAAAGATAACAGCCTTCAATCTGAACTGTATCACAACATCAAGAACACAAACCTGCAACATCATGATAGACAGGGAAAGGACTAAAACTTTCAATGATTTCATGTTACATGGACCTACAATCAACACCTTTGGAATCAGCAGTCAGAACAGGAGATGTGTTGTTTTGAGTAAGTTTGCTGTCAGGGAACTCTCTAAAATACTGAATAGTATTGATGTCAGTTTGAAGACCAAGATTTTGTTGGATTCAGGCAATGGTCTTTTCAATCACTTGTTATACATCTAAGAGCTGGATAACAAATAAGTATAACAAACGAAGTATTGATGCCTTTGAGTTGTAGTGCTGGAAAAGAGCACTCAATACCCCATGGACTGCCAAAAGAATGAACAGATATGTCTTAGAAAAAGTACAGCCAGATGTTCCTTGATGGCCAAGATGGCCAAGCTTTGTCTCTCATACTTTGGACATTTTGCTAGAAGAAGTTATTCCTTAGAAAGGGTTATCACAGTTGGAAAGATGGAGGATAAGCTAAAGAGAAGTAGACTCCCAGCAAGATAGAGATTGAAACAGTGACTATACCAATGTGCTCAGCATATCAGAGATGAAGAAGATGGCACAGGATGAGGCAGGATTCAAGTCCGTTGTTCTGAGGGTCACTATGACTCATACTTGGCTCAATTCAACAGCAACTAACAAGTCAGAACTGGTTCATTGTTGACCCTTCAATGAATTTCTGAGATTGCAAATGGCACAGAAGAAAACTGACCACCTTTATCCTTTGGAGCAGCTAGTAGATTCAAAATGCCTAAGAAGCATGACCTTTGAGTTAGCAGCACAACTTCCTATGTATTACATCACTAGAGATCTCTAGGCAGTGATCCAGTTATCAACCAGTTCTCAAGAAAAAAATCTAAGGTCCTGACCATCAGAAACTCTGTAAGGCATTGATAAAAGTGCATCTAAATTCCAAAATCAATATCCACAATAGTCTATGTGTTTCCTACTGCCAAGGGGGCCCTTTAGAGTAGTGAGAGAAGACATTCACCCTGAAACCCACAGCGTCCCTTTTCAATAGGAAGTAGCTAAGAGAATATACCATCATCCCCTTTTCCTTATGAATCAGGGTGAAGTCGCTCTCAGGGAGGAGTGATAGGGAATGGCAAAGGACACACTGACAAAGGAGATTAATCAGAACTGGCTTTGACAAGCACTGTGGCAATTGGACAATTAAAACAGACATTCGGATGCAGAAAAGAAGAACAAACTGGGGAGGAGGGTGGAGAGAATGGTGCGGCAATGAAGGAGTGAAAGCCCAGAATCCCTGTGAATGTTCATTGAAACTAATAAAATTTAATAATAAAAATAATAAATGTACTGCAGATCCCAATAAAAAAAAAAAAAGAAAGAAACTCTGTAAGGCAACAGCTCCAGCCTAACTACACTCAATGGAGTCCTCACTAGGGAGCAAGAGTCAAGGATCAGCAAATAGTTTTAAAAACCATGCAATATTAAATCAAAACAACTATGAGATATCTCACCCCAGTAAGAATAGCAAAATTGAACAGAACAGCAAGCAAGTGTAAAATGGTGCAACCACTGTGGAAGGTGGTGCGGTGCTGTCTCAAAAAGTTGTAAATAGAGATACCATTTGACCCAGTAATTCAACTATTGGGAATATAGCCTAAAGAGACCATAACTGACATCCAAGCAGATATATGCACACCCATGTTTACTGTGGCATTGTTCACAATAGCAAGGAGTAGGAAACAACCTAAGTGTCCATCAACAAAAAAATGACTAGAGAAGCTGTGGTATATTCGCACAATGGAATACTACGCTGCATTGAGAAAACGAGGAACTCATGCAATATTATTCAAAATGGGTGACTCTGGAGGACATTATGCTGAGTGAAATATCTCAGATACAAAAAGACAAATACTGCATAGTTTCACTGTTGTAGAATGGGACTGACATCAGGGTTGGGGTAAGACTGAAAAAAAAACAAACACAAAGCGCTGGATAAATTATGTATACTGCATTGAAACAGATGAGGGAGAGAACAGTTTGAAAGAGATATATGATAGGGTATTATTGTTATGACAAGAGTCCAGAATGAAGGTTGCACAGTGAACTTGGGGTGGGGGGATTATATATCAATGAAGGAATTTTTCTTTATTCAAAGAGAAGAGCAAACTGGGGGGGGAGGGGTGGGCAAGGAGAAAAATGCAACAATGAATAAATGGAAACCCAAAATCTTTGTAAACATTCATTAAAATAAATTTTAAAAAATCATGCAATATCAAGACAGAAATGGTAACAAAATAAAGCTATATTTCAGAAACAAGTAAAGGAAACAGTACATCCCTGGAAGAACAAAATGCTATACAAATTTAATATTAAGAGTCCAAATATTAAAAAGTAATATTATGATTTTTGATGTGCTTTTGAATTAATTCTAACTCATAATGACCCTGTATAACAGAACAGAGCTGCCTCACAGATTTTCCCATCTGTGGATTAAGGATCAGGAAATCAAACAATGTATTTGATTTGTCAAATCTGCTATACAAGACTTCTTAAAGCATTAAAAAGTAAAAGATGCCACTCTGAAAATGAAAGTGTGCCTGGTCCATGTCATAGTATTTTTAATTGTTTTAACAAACAAGTCTCTTGGAGGAAGTGCAACTAGTGTGCTTGTTAAAGGCAAGGATGGTGAAACTTTATCTCACATACTTTTGATTTGTGGTCAGGAGGGGCCAGTTCTTGGAAAAAGACATCACGTTGGGAAAGGTAGAGTCAGAGAAAGAGAAGAAGAACCCCAAGAAGATGGACTGATATGGTGTCTGTAACAATGGACTGGAGCAGATCGGTAAGGATGATGAAGAAAAGTGCAGGTTCAGGTTATTGTTCACAGAGTCACTATGAGTCATAGTTGACTTGATGGCACCTAACAACAATAACAATAACAAAACTGAAGTGAAGAAATAGAAATATCTTACTTGGAGATACGACGATAAAAACAGCTAAAAGGTAAACTGACATTCTTAATGGGGAAAAAAATGAAAGCATAGGATGAACAACAGTGTAATGCACAAAAAATCATTTTGTCTAACTAGCCTTCTAAAACCATAACCTCTAAAATTACTATTACTCATTGCTGTTGAATGAGAACCAACTTCATAGCTGACCTTCTGGGGATTTCCTAAAAGGAGCAGAGGATAGGAGATCTGTGCTATGAGAGAAGATTGCTCATCTTTCTCCCACAGAGTTGCTGCTGATGGATAGATACAAACTCTGGAAAAGGTGCAAGTTTAGGGTTAGCAGGACAGTGTTTACGAACTGTGTCACCACAGCTCCTTTTTACAATCAAGTACATATACATATATAAGTGACTGATAAAAACGAGATTAAAATTAACCTGCTAAGGAAAAACAGAGAGCTGAGGTAATTTGTTTAAGGTTAGAGATGAATTTATCATAAAGTTTATAAGATTTCAGCTGCAAGACCCCTGTGAGTGTTAGAGTTGTATAAGTCCTAGATGAGGAGAGGAAGACATGCTGCAATCAGGAGGCACTTCAAAGTGAAAATATTGCCTAAGATATTTCAGAAGTTCAAGCTGTTCTAAAGGAATTAGCGAAAAACAAGGCCCCAGGTATTGACAGCATAACAACTCACATATTTCAACCAACAGACACTGCCCTGGATTTAGTTACCAAGTTGTGCCAAGAAATCTAGAGGACAACCACCTGGCCAACTAATTGGAAGACAGCCGTATTTGTTCCTATTCCAAAGAATAGGTGAGCCAACAGAATGCGGAAATTATCGAACAATATAAATATCACATGCAAGCAGGATTCTGCTGAAAATTATTCAAAAATGAATGTAAAAGCAACTGCCAGATGTATAGGGAGTGAGAATCCCAAAACACTAGATTGTGCTTATGTGAAACCTATATTCTCCAAAATCCCAGAAGTGCTCTCTAATTCTAAACAAATAATTGCTTCTCTAACTGCCAAATATACATGTTGAATTTATTTCAAGTATTTATTCATCAAATAATTAAATACTTATGTACTTTTCTGGAAGATAAGAAGAAATATTACATAGATAATATTTCTGAAAATTAGGATATTATGAGATACTGTTGAAACATTATTGAGTAAGAAGGCAGAGATAATTGTTAGGCACACCAGTTCATTTGTGCACAGAAAAAAGACAATTTATTCCAAAAGAATACCTTTTCTCTTTAACTTTCACTATTTTTATAATCAAAGAGGGGAAAAAATTCTTAAAGTATGTTAAGTAAAAGGATGATACTTAGTATGAATTAAAAACTTTAAAAAAGTAAACAAAAAATATTTTTAAAAAGTGGAAGTAAAAGCTAAAATTGACTCTTGCTTAGTGTGAGTTTGACTCTGCTGTAAAGAATTCTAATAATCCTAGGAAGGCAGTTCTTGTATAATCTCTACTAGTGCAAGAAGAAATGGAGGCATTACAATGGGGGTTTAGTCTTGCACAAGTCACACTACTGTGCAGGAGAATCAAACACTGGAACTCAGGCAGCTTGAGTCTAGGGGTCAGGAATTTAAGCTCTAGGCTATATTGCTTCTAAAACAACTAATCACAGAAAATCAGTTCTATATGTGATTATTATAAGAGTAAGAATTATTCAACACTCATGTCAGCTAACATACAAACCTAGGCTATGGACAACAGCTAGTCCCATCCTCTTGAGAAGCACTGTGCATAGAAATGAGACTCTCGCATTGTTCACTGTCTTCTGAAACTCTAAAAAAAAAAAAAGATTAAGGATGCTTTAGAGCTGTAGTGAATACATAAAGATTCCTTATTTTACTGGCTACAGCTAAGGAGTCGACAATGAGAGTCAAGAGGTAGAATTATGATTAGAGCAACATTTCCCAATAACTTGTCCCAAAGTCTTTTTAAAGAGTATAGAGTTTTGACTCTTAAAAAGAGTCCCTGTCTGTTCACCAGCAACCTACAGTGACACCCTGACGGGAGTAAGCACAAGGGACATACCCCACTCTGGGAGAGGATCAGAGTCAATCCAGCTCAATTTTATTGGGATCTGCAGTGCACTTATAAACAGCAAGACTGGATAGGGTGGGTTTACAGACGTGGGACATGTGGATTGGTTAGGAGAACCTCAGCCTCGTGTGGACTATTCCCAGCTCAACAGACACAGCAGCCGTCTTCCCAGGTGGCGAGCTTTTTCAAACCGGCACAACCAAACACAGGAGAGCTTTCTCTACCCCAAATTAAAGGCCGTTGGGAGACTTGCACTTATCTGGAGCTTATGCGATCTGTCCTGGCCAAAGGAGCTCCCTTTCTCCTCAACATTCCGCAATAGCATACAAGGGAGCTCTGGTGGCCTAGTGGCAAGAATCTGCACTGCAGTTCCAGAGGCACACAGTTCAGATCCACACAGTTCAGATTCACCAGATGCTCTGCTGGAAAAGGAGGGACAATCTCCTCCTGTACCAGTCAGATCCAATTTGATAGTACATACATACACAAATATAATAAAACTAAAAAAAATAAATAAATAAATAAAAAATTTTTAAAAGTGCATACAGAAAAATATTTCAGGCAATGCTATCATGTCTTATTAGTTAGTTATAATTACACCAGCAAAGTTCTCTTAATTTAAATCTGCTATACCAAAATAGTAATTAAATACTAAAGTTTTTTCTAGAGAATAAAATTTTGAATTTAAAAAAATTGATAATTTATAAAGAAATTATCTTTTAATCTCAGGCCCAAGAAATAATTTCATTTTTATCTGACATAGTACATTGTTGATGTGTACCATCAAGTTGGAACTGACCCATACATAGTTGACCCTCCAGTGGGTTTTTAGAGACAGTAGCTCGCATGAAGCAGCTGGTGGATTCGAACCGTATGCCTTTGAGATTGCAGCACAACTTCTTACCAGCAGGCCACCAGAGTTCACTGACATAGTACATATATATACTGTAAAATCTTTCAATAATTCCTAACAAAAATTTCTAAAAGATATGGCAACATGATGTCCAGGTTAATTAGCAAACATTCTTTTTTAAAAATAAAATCTATAAAAGAATAAGTATACCTCTGAATTCGATGTTTTCTGCATATAAATGCAAAAATTCTTCTGATTCCCACCATCACAGGATCCCAATTATTATAATGACATAGAAGAGTTACAATAAAAAATGAAAAAAATACAGGGACAGCACCTGCAAAAAATAACCAAGAAAACTGCACCTAAAAGTAACAAAAACACACAATCATTATTAGTAAGACAATTTTGACCTTTAAAATAGACTACTAGCAAAAGATATTAAAATACCAAGAATAATAAGCATTTGTGATATATTAAGTATATTATTAACAAGATTTCTATTTATAAGTAAAACTGTTATTAACAACAATAATTTTTGTTTGAATAATCTAAATTCAGAAGGCCTGTTTTGACTTTCAAGTGCGTGCAGGGATGAGAAGGGGATTGAAGCTCCCCTGAGGAAAGATCCCTCCATTTGGGGATCCCTGCCTCCACCACTGTGGGACCATCCCAGGTGCCAGACAGGACAAGAGAGTCAGGAAGGAACGAGAGCTACAAGCAGGGCGAAAACTTTCTCGGTTGGCACACTTAGCTGTGAGAAAGAGAGCTGATTTGAAAACCCTCCTGAACAGAAAGGACTCAAGTGGAGCACCTAGTCTCACACCACTCAGCCACTCCACAGATGAAGGAGGGCAAGAGACTTTGGAAGAAGGGACTACAATAAGGCAAGAAGACTGCCGGACTGAACTGCAGAACAGTAGGAAGGTGAAGAACATTTTTGTTGTGTACCATAGAATTGGAATGAACCCACTAAGGAAAATAGGAATAGAAGGGAGTTTCCTCAACATGGTGAAAGTATAGATGCAAAATCAAGTCAGGATCATTCTAAATGGAGAAAGACTAAAGTACTTGCTAGGTCAATATGACAAGAGAAAGAAATAAAAGGCATCCAGACTAGCAACGAGATGGTGAAACTGTCACTATACAATGAAATCTGAAGGACTAAACGAAAAAACTGTTTGAGTGAGTGGACCAATATAGTAGGGTGGCAGGATCAATGTCCAAGTCAGTGGGATTCCTCTATAGAAAAAAAAGGAACTCAGACAAGGAAACCAAAAAAAGCAATACCATTTACAATGCAGTTGCTGCTGTTCTTAGGTGTCAATGAGCTGAACACAAGTCATAGAGACCCTAGAAACAAAAGATCAAACCTCTGTTCTACCCTGTGCCACACTCACACTTCCTAATACTCAGGAGTCCATTGCAGCAGTCATTGTGTCAATTCACCTGCTTGAGGGTCTTCCTCTCCTTTGCCAGCTCTCTACCCTTCCCAAGTCAGTATCATGTCTCTCTCTAAGACATAGCACCTTGTAGCAAGATGTGCAAGGTATGTGAGGTAAAGCCTCATCATTCTTGTTTCCAAAGAGCACTCCAGCTGCACACTCTCCAAAGACATATGTGTTCATTCTCTTGACCCTCTGGGGGATGTTCAGTGCTCTTCTCCAACACCACAGCTCAAAGCCATCAATTCTTTTTCTGTTGCCCTTATTCACTGTCCAGCTCTCAGATGCACATTAAGTAACTGGAAAGACTATGGCCTAAATCAAACTGATATCATTTACTCCTCAAGAATTTGGATAGGTCCCTAACTGCATATTTTCCCAGTGCAATGTGTGTTCTTATTTCCTGACTGCTGGTAGCAAGGTTGTTAATTGTGGATCCAAGCAAGATGAAGCTGTTGACAGTTTCAATATCTTCTCCATCCATCATGATGTTACCTATCGATCCAGTGGTAAGAATCTTTGTTTTCTTGACACTGCAATCTATTCCAAAGGCTGCATTCCATTTACAATAACCAACCACAAATTGAAATACTTGGGAATGAACCTAACTAGAGACACAAAAGGCATGTACAAAGAAAACTACAAAACACTTCTGTGACAAACAATAAAAGACTTAAATAAATTGAAAAATGTTCCCTGTTCATGGATAGGAAGATTCTTCAATATAGTAAAAATGACAATCCTACCAAAACCAGTCTATGTGTTCAACGCAATCCCAATACAGATACCAAATTCATTTTTTAAGGAGATCAACAAGGAAATTATCAAGTTTATTTTAAGAGGAAAGAGACCCCAAATAATCAAAGTATTTCTGAATAACAAAAATGAAGTGGGAGGCATAGCACTCCCTGATCTCAAAACCTACTGCACAACAAACCAAAACAGCATAATATTGGTACAATGTAACCAAAACACCATGATACAGGTACAATGACAGGAATATGGAACAGAATCAAGAAACCAGAAATGGACAAAACTATCTATGGTCAGTAGATATTCGACAAGGAAATAAAACATATCATATGGGGGGAAATAACCTCTTCAACAAATGGTGCAAGCAAAACTGGACTGCTACCTGTAGAATGCTGAAACAGGATCCACAACTCACACCAAATACAAAAACCAACTCAGGGTGGATCAGAGACCTGGGAGTAAAACCCAAAACTATAGGTTCATAAGAGACAAACTGGAACCAAGATAAGAAGGCATAGTCTATGGTATAAAGAGGCTGACAAATACGGCCAAAATGCACAATCTGGAGACGATAAAATCAATGAATGGAACCTTCTAAAAATAAATCCTTGTGTGCATCAAAAACATTTTCCAATGGAGTGAAAAGAAAATCTTCCAACTGGGGAGAAAAAAAAAATTGGCAACACCATCTCAGACGAGAGTCTTATAATAAAAATTACATAATATTCCTGGGCCTCTAGAAGAAAAAGACTGATAACCCAATTACATAATGTGCAAAAGACATGGAAAGACTTTTCACAGAGGAAAACATTCAGATGGCCAACACATGAAATGCTTAAAATCACTGGCAATAAGAGAAGTGCAAATCAAAACCACAATGAGATACCATCTCACCCCACTAGCAGTGGCAAAGTTTAGCAATAGATGTTGGAGAGGATGTGGAGAAGTGGGAACTCTCATACACTATTGGCAGGACTGTAAAATGGTCCAACCACGCTGGAAGGCAGATTGGTGCTTCTTCAAAAAGGTGAGCATAGAAACTCCATATGACCTAGCGATTCCACTACTAGGAATATACCCCAAGGAAATAAGAATTGAGACACAAACAGATTTGTACACCAATTTTCATAGCACCATTATTTATCATCACAAGAACATGGAAATAGCCCAAATGTCCAACCACAACCAAATGGATTGAGAAACTGTAATGATTCACACAATGAAATACTACGCAGCACTCAGGAGCAATGATTTTGGAAAATACTACAAAACTTGAGGGAGACTGGAGAGCAGTATGCAAGTGAACTAATTCTTTAGCATAAGGACAAATACTGCATAAGACCATTACTGTAAAAATATAAGGATAACTAGTAAAACACATATGGGGAGCAAAGGAAGAAAGGGTGGGAGCAGAGAAGTGAGGATGTGTTTGAGTGAAATCACAGGGTTGTACAATTTAGTGGATGAAGAGAGGGAGTAAAGGAAATTGGAAAGATCTAGCAGGGATCTGAAAAGTTAGGATACTGATGAGCATAGTCCAAAGGTGTTTTTCCCCCTTGTGATTTTAATGAAAGTTTACAGAAAAGGTGGATTTCTTACATCATTGTTGAACACTTTCCTCCCTACCTCCCCCCAGTTAACATAAATTAAAAAATTTATTCATTGGTGCATAATTTCCTCCCTCCCCTCTGCAATGCTGATTAATTTTATAAAACATAATGAATGGCTCATTTAGCACAGCAGCAGCCATGAGCAACCATGTCCAAGGGCCCTGCGGTTGTCAATGATCTTGGCACCACCTACTCCTGTGTAGGGGTCTTCAGCATGAGAAAGTGGAGATCATTGCAAATGATTAAGGCAACCGGACCACCACAAGCTATGTCACATTTACCAATACCAAAAAATTGACTGGCAATGCAGCAAAGAAGCAAGTTGCAATGAATCCTACTAACACAGTATTCGATGCCAAACATCTCATTGGACGAAGATTTCATGATGCTGTTGTGCAGTCTGCTATGAAACACTGGCCTTTCATGGTGGTAAATGATGCAGGCAGGCCCAAGGTCCAAGTAGAATATAAAGGAGAGACCAAAAGTTGCAATCCAGAGAAGATGTCATCTATGGTTCTCAAAAAGATGAAGGAAATTTCAGAAGCCTACCTTGGGAAGACTGTTACCAATGCTGTTGTCACTGTACCAGCCTACTGCAATGACTCTCAGCGCCAAGCTACCAAAGATGCTGGAACCATTGCTGGCCTCAATATACTCCAAATCTTCAATAAGCCAACTGCTGCTGCTATTGCTTATCGTTTAGACAAAAAGGTTGGTGCTGAAAGGAATGTGCTGATCCTTGACTTAGGAGGTGGCACTTTTGATGTGTCAATCCTTACTACTGAAGATGGGATATTTAAGGTCAAGTCTACAGCTGGAGACACCCACTTGGGTGGCGAAGACTTTGACAACATAATGGTCAACCATTTCATTGCAGATTTCAAGTGCAAGCATAAGAAAGACATCAGTGAAAACTAGAGGGCTGTCAGACGCCTCCACACTGCTTGTCAGCGTGCAAAGCGCACACTTTCTTCCAGCACCCAGGCCAGTATTGAGATAGATTCTTTGTATGAGGGAATGAACTTCTATACTTCCATTACCTGAGCACGCTTTGAGGAACTGAATGCTGATCTTTTCCGTGGCACTTTGGACCCTGTGGAGAAAGCCCTGAGGGATGCCAAGCTAGACAAGTCACAGATTCATGACATTGTCCTGGTGGGTGGTTCTACCAGAATTCACAAGATTCAGAAGCTCAGGATTTCTTCAATGGAAAGGAATTGAACAAGAGCATCAATCCAGATGAGGCTGTTGCTTATGGTGCAGCTGTCCAGACGACCATTCTCTCTGGAGACAAATCTAAAAATGTTCAAGATTTGCTGCTCCTGGATGTCACTCCACTTTCTCTTGGTATTGAAACTGTTGGTGGAGTCATGTCTGTCCTAATCGAGCAGAATACTACCATTCCTACCAAGCAGATGCAGAAGTGTTGTTTGTGGATCCAGGTAAGTTGAAATCATTGACAAGTTCAATCTTTTTTCCATTTATCATGATATTGTATATTGGCCCATTGGTGAGGATTTTTGTTTTCTTGGTATTGAAATGTAATCCAGACTGAGGGTTGTAGTCCTTAATCTTAAGCAGTAAGTGCCTCGAGTCCTCTCTCAGCCAGCAGGATTGTGTCATGTACACAACATATGGTTGTTGATGGCCTTCTTTTAATCCTGATGCCACAATGTTAGTAAACACTAAAATTTCAGACACTGTGCAAAAGCACGATTGGCTATTAGATTGCTGAAAAGATTACTCCTCACATCTCTTTTAAAACTCTTGAGTATACTTTGCTACTTTTCCCAGAAGATATAATCTCCCAATTCTCAGTTCTCACTAATAGACCAGGCTATCCACATTTTCCCTTCTCTTATGTTTTGCTTACCTTTAGAAATATCTGAGTAGATAAATTAATACAATCATTGAATAAAATTAGTTTCTCTCTTAAAATTCTTTCTTTGAAAGATAAACAACCCTGGAATTTCTGGAAAGTTCTATTTTTTTTAAATCGGTAAAGAGCTGATGTTTTTAAAATATCAATATAGTATAAGTAGTTTAATACAGTAGTCTACCAAAATCTATAATAAGCAGCAAATTCCCCAGCATGCCTAGTACCATTTTGGTTGATATTTAAGATTATTGTCTTAAAACGCAGAAAGAGCCTGGATGTTATTTAAGTCTATAAAAGAATCTAATGATGTGTAACTTCCGTGTCATGTATATTTTATAACATTCACATTCTTTGAAATGCATGGTAAATAATTATTAATTACGAAGATTTTCATTCTTTAACTATGACATATAATTTTACTGTACCATAAAATAATGTTAAATGTCAGTATAGATGGCTTTTCAAATAAAGAAGGTACAAATCCTAGAGTATTTTTCTTTTCTCCTAAGAATGGACAAAGACTTAAGAAAAGAAAAAAAAACCCAAACTTTAAAAATCTGATTATAACATTCACATATTACAATTCTTTGGGATTTCAAATATTTAAATTACATTCAACAAAAATATGCACATGCATGAATACATAATCCATCTGTTACTTAGTCCTTGCAATGAGAACCTAAAAAATACTGAACTGAGGCCACATCCCCCTTCAGTCATCTGGAGAAGTTGTATAACACAATGAATACTCCCTCAGTGACTGACAAACCTCAGTATTCTGGGAGATGGCTGTGGTACTGCTGGCCAACCTAACACAGGACAACAGCCTAGCACCCCGAGCTGCTGTGGTGCGGAAGGGCACATTGGCCACCTCCTAGGTTTCCTGGAGGACAGCCTTGCTGCCACAGTTTCACCAGACCTGGTCCAGTCTGCACTACATGCAAAACACACCCTTGGAGCTAACTGGTGTCAACATGATGCCACAAGCTGTCTGTGTGTTGCCTGCCCTGAGGCTGTTCCTTGGAGGCAAGGATTCTGAAGCTTCGTCTGACATGCTGTGGACATGTTGCAAGGAGGGACCAATCCTTGGAGATGGACTTAATGCTTGGGAGTGTGGAGGGACAGGGCAGGAGAGGAAGATCCTCTATGAGGTTGATTGATTCAGTGACTGGGGTAATTGGGGTAGGTGTCAGAGACAGTGAGACTGGCACAGAATAGAGCAGGGTTTAGGGCTATTGTACATAGGGTTGCTATGAGTCGCAGGTGACTTGACAGCACATAACAACAACAACATACCTGATTATTTAGTCACATTCTTTAATGTTCATTAGCTATTTCTGTAGCTAAAATAAATAATGAGTTGTTTCCCTTACCTTTTGCATACACATGTCAGCTATGATGGACAGAGGTATTGTAAGGCTTAGTGCAAGTGTGCCTATCAATGATGAGGTAAGAAAGCAGCCCCTGAAATAAAAAAGAGAAAGAAAATATTTACATTTCTATACTAAAAAAATTAGAAACAAAAAGCCATCAAAAACTGTTTGTTTTTCTTATACATGTTTGGGCTATCAAAAACAAAAATAAAGGCACTGGGATAGAAAGAAAAAATCAAGATTTGTAAAAATATTAAAAATTCAGATATATAAACACAAACATAAATGTTCAAAGTACATAATTCTGTTTTCAAGATATGCTGACAGATTTTTTTCAACTCTAGAAGTATAGCTTATATTTCATTTAAATGTAATAAAATACCAAATAAATGGCATCATAGTTTTGTGAAAATTACACCTAACAAAGTTATTTTATTAAAATTTCAAAACATACCTCATAACACAGACTCTAAAGCCTTTAGTGATATGAATCTACTACCAAAGCAAAATATCTCAGTCTTATCTTGGTTTGGTCTAGTATAAGGATAGGTCTTTTTTAAATTTTTTATTAATTTCAGTAAAAATTTACAAAGACTTTGGATTTCCATTCATTCATTGTTGCACTTTTCTCCCGGCCCAATCCTCCCCCCTAGTACACTACCCTCTTGGAAAACTAAAAGACAAATTATTTCATTGTTTTACAAACCCTCCCCCAGGTCTATTCCACCATGTAGCCTTCGCTCTAGACTACTGTCATGACAAAAATACCTAATCACATATCCCTTCTAAACAGTTTTCTCCCTCATCTGTTTCAATGCAGTATACATTATTGAACCCATCTTTCTCAGTCTCTCCCTAGCCCCAAGGACAGTCCTGTTTTACAACAGTGGCACCATGTAGTACCATGTCCTTTTGTGACTGAGATATTTCACTCAGCATAATGTCCTCCAGAGTGACCCATTTTGAATAATATTGCATGAGTTCTTTGTTTTTCAATGCAGCATAGTATTCTACTGTGTGAATATATCACAGCTTCTCTATCCATTTGTTTGTTGATGGGACGGATGGTATTTTTAAAGCTTCCTTTTCTAGTAAGTGTCTTATCTAAAAGCTAAATTCTTCATTTTCATTTTACCCTAAACCATCAATATGAGTACCAAATTTTCAAAATTAAATCTGAATTCATTTCATTTCATTTAAATGGTGGGAAAACGGAAACAATTAAATGTAAAGTCTAAATATGTGACTTTACAATTAATTGCTTCTCTTTTCCCACCGTTTAAATGAAATTCAGATTGAATTTTGAAAAAAAGAAACTATTTTTTCAGTCTATTAAACTGTATGTATATAATTAAGGCCACAGGCTTATAGAAGTTAAAAGCAAGCAAATTTGGGCTGAGTTTATGTTAGAATTCATAAAGCTGTCCTGTAGTAAAAGGGCCTTCTTCACTTTATCATTATTGTAGTAGTTGTTTTGAGATGTCAAAGTCACCTGAGTTTGAGGCATACAGTGTTTGTTTAGTTTAATCAGCTAAACATACTACTAATGAGCGAAAAGGAAACCCTGTGTGACAGGAATTGTTAAGCGCTCAAATGCTGGTAGGAAAATGTGACCATTCAAGCCCACCCAAAGGTGCTTCAGAAGACAGATGCCTCACCATCTCCTTCTGAAAAATCACAGCTACAGTGCAGTCCTACACTGTATGTTGTTGTTGTTGTTGTTATTGTTGATTGCCTTGGAGTAGAGCACAACTCATAGCCTATGAAGAAAAGGCCTGAAGCCCCTCTACAACTATCAACATTTACCAAAGTGTTTCTGGAGGCATGCTGTTCAGGAAGTGGATGCCACTCCTGCTTCCAAACCTGTCATAGAATGTTATTGGTTCAGTACAGTGAATCAAAATGACCAGAATCAACTTGACAAGAAAAAACAACAAAGAGCTACTTCTGTAAGTAAGTATGCTTTAAATGAAGGCTGCGTGGAATCCATGAATGATTCTGAGTATCCAAATTAAACTACTCAATAATAAACAAATGTAAACATAGTTGGAAATATAAGCATTCTCTCTCTTGAGAACAATTTTACAATTAACCACCAAAATGTAAAATTTACTATTTTTACTCATCTTTTCTTCTTTGAGGCATTTATCATATTATGGTATATGTATTATAGACCAAATACATAGCATATTCTACAAGAATATTTTCATAATATGCAAACACAGAAGAATGTTCAATGCTATATTATTTTCAAAGCAAAATATTAGAAACTTACAATGTCAGTTAATAAGAAATGTGTTAAATGTGCTCATTGTTACATAATGTATTATACAGTTTTTTTTAAAAAATTAGTGGACTCTAAGTGGTAATAAGTTAAAGATTTCCAAGACAATTTATGAAAAAGTAAAATACAGCACAGATCATAAATTGCTCTTGTTTATGTCTTAAAATGGGAAAGAGGAGAGCATGCTCTAAAATTAAAGGAGCAGTACGCTTCTGTAAGTGTATAAATATTTTAGAAGTTAATAGTAGCTGTCTCAGAGGAGAAGGAATGAAAAATTTGGAGCAGCAGGGAGATTTCCTTGCCTTCTAAATCCTTTTTCATGTATTTCTTTTCTGTGTTAGTCTGTTCTTTTTATTATTATTATTTTAATGAACATTTACAGAGATTTTGGATTTCCATTCATTCATTGTTGCACTTTCCCCCCGCCCCTCCACACCCCCAGTTCGCTCTTCTCTTTGAAAAGTAAAAGAAAAATTCTTTCATTAGTATACAATCCCCCCGCACCACTTTCCCTCCCCCCACCGCCCCCAAAAAAAAAAAGACTAAGTGAAGTCATCCATCCTTTCCCCCCATTTTAGTGAAAGCTCAGAGACTAGTTTTCCTTCATTCATGCAAATTTAAGGATACAATATTTTTAAATATATCATAACTTGTCATTATATCACTTCTATTAAACGATAAATTTTCTAGGGAGTAAACTTAAAAAGTTCATGGAATAGGGCTTAGATGTACAGAAACCTTATATTTAGTAATTTCTTAAAGTCTACATTGAATTCTACTGAAAACAGAAGTTCTACCCTATGGGTAAAATAAAAAGAAAACCTTCAATAAAGATTGAGCACTATTAATATTTACAGGTAGAATAGTTAACATATATGGTGGTTCTCAATGTAGTAAGGACTATATTAAATCTATCTCTAATCTAATATCTAAAAAGAAATGATGACTTTAAAGTAAATAATATTTACTTTGAAATTCTCTAATTTAAACTAAGCTCAAAACACTAGAGAATAGAACTTTTATTAAAACACAGTGAGCTTACACTCAAATAACAAAAAAAGAAAATAGAGTGAGTGCAGTTATTTTAAAGCAGCCATGTACTGGGTTAAACCTCCTGAAATTATCATAAAATATGGCTGAAGATTAATAATTTCTCTTGGCACAACTAAGTTCAATTGAAAAACTTAAACTTCTACCAGAAAAGAGTGATTTCCAGAATTAAGAATAGAGAGACATTAAGAAAATCACAGCACAAGAAAACAAAGTTATATTATATATGTAATGACATAAAATTTGAGCATCTATAAATGTAAGCAATAAAAGATGGGAAAAGTACAAGACAATGGATTCTGATATCAGAGTTTTAGTTTAGCAAAGGAATTTAGAAATCTATATTAAAAAACTTCAACACTTAGAAGGTAAATGATATGCTGATGACATGATAGTATACTTAGAAAACCCTAAAGACTCAGCAAGAAAACTATTGGACGTAGTTGACCAATTCAGCAAAGTAGCAGGATACAAG